TTTTTTTTTTGTGATTTTCCCAGGAACTCATTTCAAATAGTTGTCACGAAATCCAATCTACCCGAGTTATAATAAGTAGTTCACGTTTGATTCTTTAATTTTAGTTGTGTTCAAATTAAATTCCGGTTCTTCAGAAAGCAATTTGAGTGCTGCCATAATTCCATAGCATTAAACCGCAATTTTAAGAAACCGAAAGTGACTGGAAGAAGTTCAGTGAAGGAGAAAGTCCTAGGAAAAGAATTTGTCCTTATCGTAACATTGTAATAACACACGTGCATCTAAAAGAGAGATTGCCTCTGTGGTCTAGTGGTCAAGAGTTCCTGGCTATAGATCCAGAGGTTCGATTCCCAGCACTACCAGATTTTCTGAGAAGTAGTGGGTCTGGAACGGGGTCCATTCAGTCTCATGAGGATAACTGAGGAGCTATTTCAAGGAAATATGGGCTCCTGTTTAGAAAACCGAGATTAATGGCCATAGGGATCCGTTGCGCTGACCAGGCGACACCCTCTATCAGCTGAAGTTGGCAGTAACTTCGCCGACAAGCGGTGGTAGCTCGGTCAGTATAGTTCGCTTGTGGACTACAGGCTACAGAGATTGTTTTATGTAAAAGACAGGGGATTTGACTATCTTAGTAGCCATTAGCTTCTCAAGAAGGATCAAATCTGAGTTAGTTTACAACTGACAGTCACACACAAGAGAATGCAGACAGAGATAAATGAGGAATGTTTATGGGAGGACAGGGAAGAATGGGAAAGGATTTGTAATAAGATGACCCACCATGCTGGAATCATCAGTGGATGATAAGTGACGATAAATTGTAAATAACACAACACCTTCAAAATTGCCAAAACATATATTTTATAAAACCTGAGAAAAATACATATTCAATAGTTATTTAATACATACTTAACTTCTTACCAGTACCCATTTTATAAAGTGATTTGCATACATAAAACAGTGCCAACATTATATACAAATTTAAGACTTAATACATTACACAAGTTGAAAATTACTTCTGATAACAGCAGGTGAAATTCTGTGTACCGTAATATAATGTCATACTAAGAGCTATAGCATCAGTCGTATACTGTATATTTCAGTTATTTTTTTCATCTTCCAAAGCTAATATACAAGTTCTGAAAATAAAAAAAAAAAGAAGAAATATTAAAAATAATTACATGGCTTACAGATTTAGGGGAAAAATAAACAAATGATATATACACCTTAAACACATAGTGCTGGGTGTATTAAATCAAAGAACAATTGATATGATGCATTCTGGTTAATTGCTGATACAACAATAAAACTAAACAAATTCTGGACAATAAAATGAACATGCTCCTACATTTCACCAAGATTATATAGTGAGATATGATTAATCTATATGTAAATTATCACAGAATAAAACACAAAAGAAGCAATGGAAGATGATCACCAAACTTCCACAAAATTTTAAATACAGAATTTTAGCAGTGTAATTATACACACTTCTCCGGTAAAGACCCAACCCACAAAAAGTTCTACTTAACTGTGTCTATTATGTTCCTATAAAAAAAAGTAAGTAAAGCTATCCCCGTACCCGGCCGTGAAGGCCCATAGGGTTGTGAGACGTTGAGGGTCCCACATTATCTAGACAATCGGCTCAAAGATGGCTGTAAGGTTGTCAGCCCTACGCGCTGGCTGCGCTTTACTACCCAGGAAAATTATTTAATTAATGTAAAAAATAATCTGCATTTTGGTCAGAAAATGATATTGTTTGTGAATGGGTGGTGGACATCTAAGTACGCGATAAACAGTCCGCTAAGTGAAAATAATTTTTAGTGTGTCAGTTTTAAAATACAGTAACACACTTTACGACACTCTACCATTCTCTTCGATACTGACAAACCCCCTTATCCGATTTATAAGAAAAAGAGGCTTAACATTTTAAAACCCCTCTCCCCCCCCAAAGAAAACTGTACCTTTTTACTGATAAATTTTATTAAACACTTTCAAGTTGATGACACCTTGTTAAGAAGGAAAGTTCAATATTTTTATAATCTGATGTTCTTAAATGTGATTATGACAAAGCTGTTAGGGGCACATACAAACTGCCTGGTATCTTCTAACGCGAAAGCTTCGCAAAGTAATTATTGCAAATGGTTGTCATCTCTTATTGCACGAGTATCTTGCAATATGAAAATCAGAATTTAGCAGACGGAATTATGGCAGCCCTGCCACAATCTAATTCATCAGCTTACGTAGTTTATTGGTGGGAAAAGATTAAATATGCCACAAGATGAGCAGCATGTGCACTCAATGTCCACAACAAGTATACGAAACCACTCTATTAGGCTTAACAACCAACAAAACAATTATCATGCTTTGTTTTCAAAGCTTAAAAACAGAATTAAATATATATACAACAGAAAATAACTATATTTAAAAACATTAGCTAAAATCTACAGATCATGAATAGCATAACTGAAGGGCTATTATTTATAGGCAGAACATTTAAATTACTGTCAGAATTAACCTTTTCCATGTAGTTTTATATGGCAAAATAACATTTCTTTTATATATAGAAAAGTAAACAGGTAAATCTATATCTGTAACAGGCTGTGGAGGCCCATAGGGTTGTGAGATGTCAAAGCTCCCACATTTTCTAGACAATCAGCTCACAGATGGCGGTAAGGCTGTCAGCCTTACACGCTAACAGACTGTCCTTTACCCCCAGGTAGATTCCTGGTACTCATTTCTGTCAGATTCTGAAGCAAACTCAGGACCATAGTGCAGCTGGAAGGATTAGGTCAATTAAAAAATCCAATTACCTTATTGTGAATCGAACCTGTGACCTTCTGACTCATAGCACAGTGCCTCAACCATGATACCTTGTGCTCCCCAATTATATATAGTTTTCATAGTAACTCAGGCAAAATATCCATTAACACAAATAATTTTAATTAATTCAATGACCATTTTCTTTCACTGTTCAACACTAAGATGACTGACTGATTATTCATTTTATAGTCTGTAAGTACAAATTCATCGGTTTTGAAAGCACAGACTTAAGATAATGCTTTAAAAACTTCCTTTTCTTTATTTCTCAGCTCCTTTCCATCAAAATGAATTTCACTTTGGTATGAACTATCTTTCCTTTATACAGAGTAAAAGAATGAAAGTTTGCATGAGCCATGACAGATATTCAACAGCTGTGCAGGCACAGTGGTTACTATATATACCACCTGCTTTAACACACTAAAACTCTGCATTTTGTCCGCAGAGTGTATCTGTGTGTTCTGTATGGGTCTCACAATAAACAGCGACCATTTCCCTAACAGCATTAACCAGTTTGGCTTTGTTATGGAGATAGAGTATGTTTACTGTGAGGTACGGACTGAACTTGTATATATTATTTAGAAGAAATTCGGTCTTCTAAGGATTAACAAAGAAAAGCCAGAATCTCCTTTACAGATATCACTAAACAACAAAATTATATCAAGCAAAAAAGGCCTATGAAGAGAAATATCTTGTAGAATGTGACGCTGTGTAGTCTGGAACAAGTCCACTCAGATTTCAGACAAATGTACCAACTCCACCTTAATGGCTGGGGAGTGAGTCAAGTAAGCAACATGCAACAAGCAGCTTGTTGCCTGCTTGGCTTACACTTTGACCCTGAAGATGGAGGAAGTATATCCCTCCAAAACTCTGATGAACATCTTATCGCATTACATGGCATCAATCACAGCCCAATAGAAGAATCCCAAATCCCACATATGAGGCTAGTTTTCATAAGTAAGAAATCTTATTTCTTTTTAACATGGAAAGGGTTAAGCAGGAACAACACTAATAAAATCGTCCAGCACAGACTTACATGTACTGGACTGAGTATCAGAGAAGGGTTACACACGGCTTCTTTCACCTGAAGCAAAACACATTTGGATTACATTTATTCAAGAAACTTCTGTGTTATCATAGCAAAAGTATTATAATTAATAACTTGTAAACATATGAATGCCAAAGAAAAACACAAAACACACACACAAAGAAATAACAAAATAAAATGAAGAACTGGAAAGAGGATGCTATAAAAAATAATACCCACAATGCAACTGTACCATCACATGGTTATATATTTAAACAAATGCAACATGCACATGCAATATTGGAATAATTTTAATAAGCAGATTGCCTTTCTTTTTATTTGAACCCTAACTGTTAAAAAACATAAAATGGAGATGATTTTTTTTATTGATCCACCAAATAATTTCACTTGATTGGTGTGAACTCTGCATGTCAGATGGATGTCACGACTTGCCTCATACAGTGCACCACGAACTCATTCCTGGTTTGTTCTGGTGACTCCAGTTCACTAAGTGCCTTTTGCAGCATTGTTATTGCTTCTTCAGAGAATTGTTGGCCTCTCAATGATGTCACGACCTGTGCTTGTCCGGAGAAACCTTTAGCAGCCGCAAGACGGGGAGGCACCGTCAACAACACATCCTCAACCACTCCCTTGTTCACATCTATGGTAATGCTGAGCTCCTGATCTGTCAATTCATCCTTGCTGAGAAGTTCTCTTGGAACTCGGAAAGTACGGGTCACGTTGAATTTTGGTGACTTTCCAAAGCGCCAACCCCAACTTGCAAATTCGGCACGCAGTTTTTCCAAACCTAAGAACAAAGAATGTCAAGTCTTTTAAACATTTGAAACAGATAATCAGTTACTTGGAGGGAAGCTGCAAATATAACAAATAAGCAGTTGCGGACAACCGACAAGGGGTGGTCCTCCAGCTGGGGGGTTGGATATGGGGCTAACAACTCCTCACTGTAAAAAATTCACATAAAGCCTCAGACCTGGATGGATCCTCTGGATAAACGACCTAAGCTAAAGAAAAGAGACTTTAGAATGATCAAGTCAAGAAGGATGATGTGGGTAGGGCATGTAGCACGAATGGGGGAAATGAGGAATGCATATAATATATTGGTGGGAAAGCCAGAAGAAAGGAGACCACTGGGAAGACCAAGGCATAGGTGGGTGGACAATATTAAAATGGGCGTGAGAGAGATAGGAGGGGATGATATGGATTGGACTGATCCGGCTCAGGATAGGGACTAGTGGATGGCTCTTGTGAACACGGTAATAATTCTTGAGTAGCTACAGATTTGGCTTCTCATCAAGAGGGGTTCAGCTCCATAAGTAAGTAAGTAATCAGTTACTTAATACTGCATGCAAAGCCAAATGGGACTGGTGGGTGCATAGAGGACAGGAGACTGGCATGGTCAGCAAGAAGACAACACACAACTTTCACCTCGACAGACTATGGACCTGGGACAGCTGTCAGAGGAATGGTGTTTCAGCTCCTAGCGGAGGACAGCCCTTCCTCACAGCATTCAGCCTGGCCCTAGGGCCCACCCAGTCAAAATTTCAGCAGTTACTGGGAGCTCCTCCTTCCCCAGAGGTGAAAGGGGACAATTCTGGCAAGCAGTTGCTACCTGCTTCCACGCTATTTGCTCAGCTTATTTGATGCTGAAGACAGAGACGACACGTTTCTTGGAAATGTAAACCGACTTTCAACAGACTACATGGCGTTATATCACAGACGGCAGAACTCATCATGACTACCGTTAAGAGAACCTCAAATTTCCTAATTACATTGTTTCAAACTCTGGCTGAACTCAACTCTGAGGGTTGTGAAGGTGACCCACTCACTTTCATCCACTGTCAAGATCAAGAGTGTGAACCTATACCACTGCTCCCCAAATGGCTTCATGCCACAATGCTTAATTACATAATTAAGTAAAGTTGTCCCTGTGCTTAACTAATTAAGCACTATGTCTTGAAAGTGTATTGGGGAGTGGATGTATAGATATCCACATTTTCTTGACCTCAGCACTAGTTGGGGGGTGAGTGGTCAGCTTCACGGCTCTGCCGACTTACCCCCCAGGGAAAGAGATCCTGGTATCCACTAGATAGGAGGCTGGGTGGACCTCAGAGCTGGTATGGACAATGTGGAGAAAATTCTTGACCCTAGAGGGTCTCAAACTCCAACCCCTCGGTCATCCAGCCCATAGCCAGTTGCTATACCAACTACATTATCCTGCCTCCAATTACATAATTAAGTACAAGAAATAACTTTAAATTCATTTTTATTTGACCACTCTATGACTGACATGACAAGCGAAAAGTCAAAGCAGACGAATGGAAAAACCACAGAATTTATCGATTAATATTTTCGTCCTGTTCTCTTTTCTTATTTCTCCATCAGATGTCAAACAGTGAATATGTACTCAGAATCACTGGGTTTTGGGACTTTTTCGATCATACACTATTCTAGAGACAAGAACACACATTTGGGAAACTGGATCTGTTTCCATCCTCAAGTGAGGCGGGGAGGAAAGACACCTACTCAGCTGGCTCCCTTAGAAAAAGCTAACCTCAATCACTGGACTTGAATACGTAACTGATGTGGGTGTGAGGACCTCCACTAACGCAACACTGTAGTGTTCAAAATGTTGAGATGTAGACAAAAACAGAGAGAAATAAACTACAATGAGAGTAGACGGTTTCCTTGTAGAGAAATGTCTGGCAAGTTGAATATTTGTCTGGCTCATGACCTGAGCCAACATTTACTGGCCCACAGAATTACTGGGGTTTTGGACATTTTCCATCGTCCAGAATTTTAGGTAATAGAGGACATGACGTTTCGGAAACTGAATCCATTTCCGTCTTCAGTTGAGAAAGGAAGACACCTACTCAGCTGGGCCCCTTAGACAGAGCTAATCTCAAACGATGGAAAAAGTCCAAGACCCCAGTAATTCTGTGTATCATCCACCATCGTCAGAACCCTTTATAATCTACAATTTACTGGCCCGTTTTTAAAGACTGACAACCAAAGATTTAAACTACCTGCACTTACCAGGGAACCACTGGTCTGTGGGGTTGATAAACTGGAATCCCCTTTGTTTCCCAATAAAATCCTCTCCTTTGTCCTCTGCAGAGTATGGGTCAGTGCGGAGATACTCCCATCCAATGGACGCTAACAGTTTCTCCATCTTCACGTGACTGTTCAAATCGCAGAGATTCATGACAGGGGACGGAATGCTCTGAGTAGCATTTGTTTTAATGCCCTTCTGTAAACAAAAACAAAATATTATGCATACTCTTCACAGTTCAGGCAATAGAATTTCCTTATCCATCAAGACCAAGAAGGTGCATTCTACAATAGACAGCACAGTTTCCGGAAGCATTCTTAGCACCTCAGTACAGTTAAATCCCTGACTTACACAGGTTCATGTTACAAGGATACACAAGAATCTAATTTTTATTATTTAAGCAGTTTAGGTACTTTCAGTTATATGGTCATTAGAACTGGATATAAAGGGATTATATATCGGTAATACATCGGGGGCACATGGTAGCATAGTTGGTTGAGGGGCTATGCTACAAGCCGGAAAGTCACAGGTTCAAGTCCAGATGAGGTCACTGGATTTTTTCAACTGACCTAATCCTTCCAGCCGCACTATGGCCCTGGGGATGACTCAGCCTCTAACAGAAATGAGTACCAGAAATTAATTAAATAATTTTCCTGGGGAGTAAAGCATGGTTGGCGCATAAGGCTGACAACTTTACCGCCATCTTTGAGCCGATTGTCTAGGTAATGTGGGAGCCTCAACATTTCACAACCCTATGGGCCTTCACAGCCTGTTACAGGGATAGCTTTACTTTACTTTGCTTACCGGTAATATATCATAACATGGTTTGTTCTGATACATTCTTACTGTACATATTTCATAGCTTTAATTATCCACTGAAGCAAACATATATGTCAAAAATTATATCATATTTAAGCACTGCTGGACTTGTACAGCTACCAACTTACACGGAAACCATCAGAACAAATTAACCACGTAAGGAAGGCATTTAATGCATTCTCAGTACCTACAGTGTACCAAATATCTTTGCTACCACAGATAAAGATACAATCCCCCACATTCTATGGACTTAATGGATGACTGATTAATTTGTTTCAAGTACATTTAACTGCACAGGTTATTAGTGACTGTCAACACATTAACAAATGAAATCAAAACATAAAAATGAAGTATTTATGTATAAATATTACACATTAATAATGATTAATTAAAATGATAAAATGCTTCATTGAGTTAAGCTGGCATTTCCTACGAGTGTCAAACAGAATAATGTAGTGTAATTTCTTCCATACTGGATAGAATGGTTATACTGCTATGGCTTGAACCCATGGAACTTGCTAGTTGCCTTTTGGAATCCTGGCAATCTCACCCAGTCGCATGTTACAAGAACAACATAATATGTCATAACAATTTTCTCATTTCAGTTTTTCATTATCTTATGTCTGGCCTGCACAACAAAAATAACAAAACAAAAAACAAACTCTGTGGTTTCAGTCCGCAAGCGAATTATACTGACTGAGCGACCGCCGCTTGTCACCGAAGTTAATGTCAAATTAGTGGATAGAGGGTGTCGTGTGGTCAGTGCAACGAATCCCCACGGTCATTAATTTCGCTTTTCTAGACCGGAGCTGCTATTTCCTTCAAATAGCTCCTCAATTATCCTCACGAGGCTGAGTGGACCCCGTTCCAGACCCACTACTTCTCAGAGAATTTGGTAGCGCTGGGAATCGAAACCGAACCTCTGGATCTGTAGTCAGGAACTCTGACCACTAGAACACCGAGGCGGTCACAAGGATAAAATTACTTTTGGATACCAATTTGATGGAAGAGCCTCAGGATAGTTTTCCAACTAAAATATTATATGTAATTTGTCTCTGTTTAGTGGTAACATATGCCATGGTTCTCCTAATCCCCAACTTTCTGTGAAGTTCTAGTCTTCCTAGCTGCATTGTTCTTCAGAAACATAACACACTGCTGAGGGACTACCATATATGAGCATATGTTTATATATGGACTGCGGCAAGAGAAAGGCAAGACTGATAACTGATTTCTGACAGTTCTCATAACTTATATATGCAAATGGAACATGAAGTAACCACATGTCACCAAGTCATAGGGTCAGGGACACAAATCTTTTGTTAGGCTGTTCCCACACACACATACACAGCAAACAATAACATGCCACATCATGGCCTGTGCTCTGTCATGTTCCTCATATCACATGCATAACTACTTCTTTGATATTCTTAAGTAAAAACAAATGACTGTAAAGGTGCACTGCAATTCTCACACTGCTTTTTTTGAACAACTCCTTAGGCTTTCATAGGGGCAAATATTAAGAGTGCAGTCTTCTGGGAAGTAATGGGCACACAGTTTGGTATCAACACTTTGGAGGAATCTTACGCCTCCATCTTCAAGGCAGAAAGGCCTTAAAATGAAGGTAATGAGTTCCTCCAAAACTTTGGACCTACCACCAAACAACATAGCATCACATCCCAGAAAAATACAATATTGGCTTTATCTGATTTCCAATTATTCCTTATTCATAGAGCTGAGCCCTTCTTGAGAAGCCGCCAATTGTGCAGTTACTCATGAACTTCCCAGCATTTTATGAGACCCAAATGTTCATTACCGTGTTCACAAGAGCCCTCCACTGGTCCCTATCCTGAGCCAGGTCAATCCAATAAATTCTAATACTGTTCATCCACCTAGGTCTTAGTCTTCACGGTGGTCTCTTTCCTTCTATCTTTCCCACCAATGTCTTATATGCATTCCAATTGACTTAACCCTTCCAGCTGCACTATGACCCTGGGGCTGACTCAGCCTCTAACAGAAACAAGTACTAATAACCTTCCTCGGGGTAAAGTGCAGCCAGAGCACAAGGCTGACAACCTCACTACCACCTGTGAGCTGACTGTCTAGAAAATGTGGATGCCTTGACGTCTCACAACCCTATGGGCCTCCACATCCTGTTACAGGGATAGCTTTACCTTTCTTACACAACAGAATAAATCTACCAAGGTGTTTTGTAATACAGCAGGTGCTCTACAACATGCTTAACGCTGCAGCAAGATATACCATGCAAGATTTGGGGTTCTCTGAGCAGTGGTGTGACACGACATACTCTGGCAGAAGGTTACCAACATTATGGAGAAACCTGCTGTCTCCATTTTCAACGCAGAAGAGTTTCCACTTCAGTTTCAGTCAGCATGTTTCTCCAAAACGCATCAAAGAAGACATCAATCTTAAAGATATACCACAACCTGATATTTTTGTGTATAAGAAATTTAAAGCTTTTGGATCTATGCTGTAACCATATTGTAGACTTTACTGTGATACCATCATCACGAAACCCCAAGTAAGATGATCACAATACAAATATTGGCAGAATTCTAAAGGAACTCAAATTTCAAATTGAATACGATGCAAACATTGCATGCATATAAAACATTCTTGTCTACAGTTAATCTTTATTTATATCGTGCCCTCTTGAGCCCCTGACAGAGGGCCACATGATAACATTATCAACATTACAGACCATAACATGAGAGCCTGTGACGTTAACATGACTGAGAGGGGGAAATGATACAGCACAGAGAATTGCAAATTATGGCCAATGTCTGTATTTATGATTGTGAGGTCATATTCAGAACTCAATAAATATGCATGTGTACCTACACATAATCACAGAAGAGCAATGGCTGACAAGAATACAATTTTATATATGATATATTTTGTACTTTTTGTATAAAAACGGATGATGCAGAATTATAATGCCAGAAATGATCTGGATTGGCTCTTATGAATGTGGTAATAAATCTTCGGGATGCATAAAAGGTGGTCTCAAGACAGGCTCCACTCTTAAGAAGTGAGTCAATGTACTGATTGGGCAGTCAGTATGTGAAATTTCTGTGTGACTGCTAAAGTAACTTAATGCTAGTTGACCCTTCTTCATATCTGTCATAAGAAATGATGCGTATCAATAATCAAGGAACCTAGTATTTTTCTTTTTCCTTGGCACTACAGCCCCAGTGGGCCTGGCCAACCTCCATGAACTTCTCCGTTCACTTCGGTTTTTCTAGAGCTTACACATTTGGTAGGACTCCTTGGGCAGGTAATCAGTTTGTCGCAAGGCCTCTACCTGCACACAAACACAGAAAAATGCACATACACACACTAAACATCCATGCCATGAGTGGGATTTCAACCAACGATCCTGGTTTCCAAGCAAGCGAAGACAGTAAGGAACCTACTAGAAGGGCTTGAAACAGGAACAAGCAGTGTCTCCCATACTCTGATGTTCATATGTTCATCTACAGAACTACCAGTACTCACAGGATGGAAAAATGTTAAGACTGAAGAACCATTCTATACGTGGATAACGCTGTGGTACAAGGGACTGAGTGACAGCTGTCCAGCTCCAAGTCGTCACTTTACTACATTCCCATGGACAATCTTATGTTCACTAAATGAAAACATGATACTCACATTATGTTTATGCAGGGCATGTCCTAATTTCACCTTGTCCACGTCAACCAACAGAGTGCAATGGTGGTAAGCATTTGGACGCCCCAGTTTTGCAGCTGTTCCTGAAATCTGCTGTTCAAGAATCAAGGAATAATCACGCAAACGTTTTATAATTTGATAGCTTTACAGGTGCAATAAATATAATTTTGTCTACATCCGTACCATGACATGCTTCATATACTATGGGAATGAAATTGACCTGTAGACAATTACCTCGCTGGAAAGTTAGCGGATTCACGCTGGAGACAAATTCAAACACACGATTTCCCTTCCATAAGTTTGTCTGCACAAGGTATAATGTACAAGCGAGTCAGTAAACAGGTCACAAATGGATATAAAATGTAAACCATGTAATATTTGAACATGGAAGTACATAAATTTAATACCAGATCCATTTATGATCAGTACTACCCACAAACTAACTTAACACTATTACAAAAAGAAATATGTTATATGGGAGTAAAGATCTTGAACCGTCTGCCGACTGAAATTAAGTCTATATTTAATGACATGAAGAGTTTTAAATCTAAGTTGACAACATTCTTATTACAGAATTCCTTTGATACATTTGAGGATTTTTTTAAAATTAAAACATGACTAGAAATAAGATAAAAACAATATTATTTCATAATTAAGCCATGTAATTATGATGGTAAGAGTGATATAATATATGTGCCTATCGTATACGTATCTGCACATTTTATATTTTGTACATAAAGGACTGTTATTGTTTACATTTACATTTATTTTCACTTCAGGGATCCAATCATCTCCATGTAGGGCTGGATATAAAACATGTCACATATTACAAATTCATGATGACCACACATCATTCGTCCTTGGTCTAATAAAATATAAAATCAAGCCTCAGACACAATAGCTCAAGTTGTCAGGCTAACACACATTGGTCATGGAAAAACCACAATCAAATTCATGCCTTGCCATTCCACACAGTGGCAAGCCGTATCATCCGAACAGTTATATTATCAAATATTAAAATTCATAACAAAAAACAGACATCATACATACTACTACACTTACAACAAACAAGTATAATTCACGCACACAGACAATTTATTAACTCTTAACTGTTGAGCCACTTACTCATTCATTCATCAGTACTCTGTCAAGACGACAGGTCCACAGTCTCTTCCAAAACAATTCCTCCACTTAATGCGACCTAGAGCTTTCTCCTTCAAATGAAAATATCCTCTTCTGTACCCAAGGTCATCCAGCATCTTCTTACGTCTTCTGGCCACTTCTATCCGCCCCTCTATCTTTCCTTCGATAACTTCTTTTAGAAGGCAGTTACTGCCTAAGATATGACCAATCAAATTAGCCTTCCATTTTCTTATTTCGTGTAGGATATTCCTCTGCTCACTGACTCTAAATAACACTTCTTCATTTCTCACATAATCGGTCCAACTGATCTTCTCCATCCTTCTCAAACACCACATTTCGAAGCTTCCCGAGCCACTTACATGCTCAACAAATTCATCAATAGAGTAAAATGCATTACTTTGCAAATAATTTCGCAAAAAAAAAACCTAAATTGCTTTTTATAATTTTTTAAAGCTGAGATATTTGACGGCACAGTATTAAATAGCTTGACGCCTGAATAATATGCCCCTCTCTGACAGGATGATAAATGTGTTGAAGGTATGTGAAGGTGGTCATTCCTTCTGGTACCAAACTTATCCAAATTATTAACAAATGTCATCTCAATCACTGCTCTTTCTACGGGACCCAACAGAATAGGTGTTTTCCCTCACCTGAGGACAGAAACAGACCCAGTTTCCAAAACGTCGTGTTTTTCTTAATTATCTTAAAACCAGGACGATGGATAAAGTCCGAAAACCCAATATCACTTTACCAGTTTGTCAATATACTCTTGGTATGATATCTCCTAGTGTATTTAACACACGCAATGTTCTCAATTCATTCTATAACTTACAGCAAACATGCAGTAGTGGAAGGATAGCACATTTAAATGGTTACAATTGTTTCCGTACAGCAATGATGAGGAGAAAGACAATATGTGTACAGAATTTCTGTGGGGAAAACTTTTGGTTGTGAGATGGATGGAATTGGTTGCGGACTGTGCTGATGGCAGATTTCCAAGCTCCTGGCATTCAATCTCTGGGCACTGCAAAGAATCAGTCTGAGTTACAGCCTCCGAGATGACAGAGATAACGACCACGAAAACTTCGTAATAATTTGTATATATTCTCATAACAGTTTAGAGGATCAAAATTAATTTCTGAAAGGAGAAAATCCAAAAAATCATCCACAAATTCTACAAACTTGTGGGCTTCATTATAATATTGTGTTTAATGTGGGACTTGAATATAAAATCAAAATTAAGGAGGAAATAGGTATACATGAACAATATACTATATATAAAGAAAGTAGTCTTCTGGGATGTGAATGGTGCCACATACCAGAAGGCGGAATTCTTCATAGTTGCCGCCATGAAAACCTCAAATCTTACAACATATTATAAAGTTGCTCCCCACAACTTTATGGGTTAAACTAAACAGAGAGATAAAATCAACGACTTCTTATGTTAAATTTACTTTGATTTCAAGGGACATTAATTTTCTCAGTCTATCACAAAATGATTTGATTCAGACTAAACATATGAGTAAATTCTTTGGAATACGATAACACTAACAAAATCAACGGAAAATATCTAAAAAAATATCCTGCTCTATTACAAACTCCATTTTCTGAATGTACCTGGAAAATGCCAACCATGGTGCCCTGGATTTCTGATCAAATTCCTATACACTGACGTAACTACTGCGGGATTATTAATTCGTTTAAAATTAATTTCTAATCATTTTAACAGCCCTCTCCTACACTCTGTGAACACTGAAACAAATAAAACAAATGGAAAAATTACCTAAAAATGTGATCTTTAATTTCTTCTATGAAGTGACTCTAACAAAGACAAATAATGTACAATTTAACTCAAATTTTCTGTCCATTGTCTACATCAAGGGTCTCCAAACTACGGCCCACAGGCCACATCCGGCCCGCAAAAGAATTCTGCAGAAATGCACCAATTGAACTAATTTTCCAACGAGTACTGGTAAATGTGATTCCGAGCTTACTGATGTGACATATTATACTGCAGTTAGATGGCTTAGCTGTGGAAAGGTTATTTCGCGCTTCTTGCAGCTCAGGAATGAAACCGATATATTTCTTACCGAGAAAAACCATCACGAACCACTTTAATCAGATACCAAGTGGCTTTGGAAATTAGCAGTTTTGCTGATCTGGTGAACCATATGAACCATTTGAATTTAAAGTTGCAGGGTGAAAATAACTTAGTCTGCGAATTGTTTGCACTTATCAAGGCATTCAGAGCAAAGCTGATACTTCTGGAAAGGCAAGTGAAAAACTGTAACTTTGTTCATATGCTACACTGTGCAGAGTTGCATAAAAAGGGTGAAGCAGAATTTCCTTCCTCATTTGCAAATTTAGTCATTTTAGATTTGAAAGAACAATTTCGGAAGTGATTTGCTGATTTGGATTCCAGTGCTCAGGAAATTAGATTGTTTCAAAATCCGTTTGACTGTGATGCTACAGATGTCCCAAGTCAAATTCAAATGGAAATTATTGAACTTCAGGATAATTATCATATTAAAGACAAATACAAGGAAGGAAATTTGATCTGAACTCTGAGCAATTTCCAAATTTAAAGAAATTTGCTTATCTCCATTTTTGGGACATATCTGTGTGAACAACCTTTTTCCCAGATGAAGTACATAAAGTCAAAATACAGGGCAAATTTATCCGATGAACATTTAAAGTCGCTACTTATGATTAGCATTTCAAAATTTTAACCTCAATTTAATCAGATTTTAAGAATGCAAAAAGAGTNACAGATGTCCAAAGTCAAATTCAAATGGAAATTATTAAACTTCAGGAAAATTATCATATTAAAGACAAATACAAGGAAGGAAATTTGATCGAATTTTATAAATTTCTGAANTTTATGAAATTCTGTGCTTTCAATAAAACTCATATACCTAGAGTTATTACACTGATATATTGGGTTTTTGGACTTTATCCATCGTCCTGGTTTTTAAGATAACAAATAAAAACACGATGTTTCGGAAACTGGACCTGTTTCCGTCCTCGGGTGAAGGAAAAGGGAAACACCTATTATGTTGGGTCCGTTAGAAAGAGCTAGCCTCAATCACTGGACAAACCAATAAAAACCAATAAAGTCCAAAAACCCAATATATCAGTGTGTTATACACCATCCTCAGAATCCTATAGTAACTACTTCTAGAGTTATTAATTTCTCATTTTATCGGGCCCATTGAAAGTGCTGAATTACCTAATGTGGCCCACAGTTTGAAAACTTTTGAGACCCCTGGTCTACATTAACATGCAAAGGGATTCATACTAAAATATTATTTGGAAAGGATACTTTGTAATTTCCACTGACAATATCTTCTCTTGGTGAAATTTCAGTTTTCAGGCCCCATTCTCTGAGTAACGCTCTGCATATAAGTTGCAAGTTATTCTTGCGACTGTAATGTTCTCGTGGTGTGAAAAAAGTGAGATTCAAGTTTCCACGATCATGATAGACAGTACCACCTCCACTGTTCCTTCGGGCTATTTCAATGCCATGTTCTGACAGAACGGCTGTGTTTGCCTCTAGCCATGGATTCTGATGACGGCCAATTACTACAGCTGGCGAATTTTGCCACAAAAGTAAGATATGATGGTTTGTAAAATCAAAATTCCTGTACAACCAATCTTCAAGTGCAAGATTTGTGAAAATATCATTTGACTGGGATATAAAGACAGATTTCACAGTGCCAGCGACTTTGGCTTCCTCTGAACCTTGCTGAGCTGAGGATGAATAGTTACAAAATTTCATTGAAGACAATGCAAGGGGTTTGTTTCTCTTCATACCAGTTATGGCAATCCTTTGAAGTTTCACGATGGACCCCTGTACAAAGTTTTGAGCCATTTTTGTTTCAGAATGTGGATTCCACTTATTAAAACTATTCAACTGCCAGTTCTTCAAAAAGTCTGTTCCAACAGTCTAATACTTTTATTTGGTGTATGTGGATTTCTCAGAATATATAGATAACAAAGGCAGTTTAAAATCTTAAGCAAGGATGCTCTTATTAAATAACTACTGAATATTTTGAATCTAAATTTAAAAGTAGCAAGTGATTCCGTCTGTATGAGATGCTTCAAGAGATACAAGGTGATCGTGAAGGTCTTGTGTCTGATGCAGCCACTTCCAGGTTTGGTGAAGTGTACAGATACGATACCTGATCCCTAGGCAATCACGGCAATCTTTTCTCATCCCTCCGTGGGCCTTCAGGTTGGTAAAGTAATTAGGAAAAATACAGATCGATATGAGAAATTTGCTGTTCATACAATATAACTATTCTTCGCTCAGATGACGATCAACGACGTGGAGATTCATTAACTAATTCGTCGCTTGCTTGTACTAATAAATACACAGCACTCTTTACAACGAGAATAACTACCACATAAATATCCGCGTACAACTGCAAATGCAACACAAACTGCGATCAATTGGCCATATACATATATGTATATAAGCTTCTCAATGCTACATCGTTTATGTTATAGATGGCAGGCTATTACTGATAAGAATTAATTTGAAAATAGTATCATTAAAATGATAATACCAGGGCAAAATCCAAAGTCACTACTTATTCAAGGCTACTGAATATCTAATACGTAACTATAAGCACCAATAAGTTCTCCACATGCTCCACCCACATTTACGCTATGTTAGCTTACTAGGATTGCTACCACGGATCCCACAACGTTGGCAGAACAATCGTTTCAGCAGAATCGAATCAATCCAAAGACGGTCTTACCCGTAACATGTCACGAAATAGCTCTGTATCCTCTGTGTACCGTAAGACTTTTTGTAATTAGTGAAGGTTGAAATGGCTGTGTCGTCGAAAGCTCCAAGCTTTTCGGGTAAGTTGTGAGAAGTAACTGCTATATTTCTGCTGGGAAGGATGTTTTAGAGTGTCTTAGAATGTGTTAATTAGCGAAAGATATTAAATGATTTCATGAATCTAGGATTGACTAAAATTTTATGTATGTTCACAGTTGCATTGCGAAAGTGGGCCTACAATCTTTCTGGCTTCAATAAATATGGTAAGTCTGATATAAAGCGAACCATTGCAGTGCTTACGACATTGTTGCACACTCCTATGCAGAAGTGTCATTAGGGATATCCACATACCTGCGCTTCTCCATACGTTTAACCCAACCTTCCAATAATTCTGCTGTACCATTTTCAGGTATAACGATGGCTTTCCGTACATACATAAACATATAAATTGGATCGTGCTCTGTATTTAATGAACAATTTTTTTTGTACTTGTAATTTTTTAAGCTTGCAGAGGAATGTAAGTTTGATACCTTAGTCATATAGTCTGCATACTGACCGAGCTGTCCCTGGTCACAAGTATAGTCCTTATACATACATTTAAGTGGACAAATTCGAGTTTAAATGCTCTGTTGTTTTCTCTGTGCCAGGCCTTCACCATGATGATTGTTATGATGAAGATAATCCAGATGTAAAGGAAGCCCTAAGACGATTACCAGCACATCTTCTTGATGAACGTAACTTTCGGATTGTTCGTGCCATGCAGTTGTCACTGCAGAAGATCGTATTACCAAAAGAAGAATGGGTAAAATTTGAGGAAGTGAGTATGATCTGATTCTCCATGAAATTTATAAATCATCCAGATGAAAGTTGGAGAACACAGTTTAGTTGGCTTTCAGTCATATGCCCATAAGTGTTCTGGAACTTACAGTTTCATGGCTTTAACAAAAACATGGTGAAAGCTTCATTCTTGTGCCTTGCCATGAAAGTGTATGGTCAGATCTGGCTGTTTCATCCCCTGCCCCCTACCCCAAGGAAGAAGTCCTCTGTACTCCCTGAACAAAATGGCGGATAAGCCCAAGAGTCAGTCAGATCAGTCATTTAGTCTGTAGTCATCATTCACTTTGCTGAGTCCTAATTAATTTTACAGTTAACACTGAAACTTTCTACTGTTTTAATTAATTTGTGAGTGTAGTTAATATTGTAAATTTGATTATCCAACAGTTTCATTTCACATAGTCTTACTGGAGGCAATTTTGAAAGTAAAAGTGAATATCCTACATGGTATAATACGATGGGGTACCCAAAAGAAATTGAACTAATTTTTTTGTGGGCAGAGTTTTTGTAGTACCGCGTTTTGCCGCTATGAGCGCATAGAGCTAACATTCCTGAGTCAATAAGCCGACTACCGTTGCTTCAGAAGGTAAGGACTAGTTTCGGCAGAGTTTATAGTGACAACTGTTTTGTGTGATCGTCGTTTTTACAATGGCTGATTTTCGTGAACAGCGTGCGGCGGTGAAATTCTGCTTTTTGCTCCGGAAAAGTGGAACAGAAACTCTTGAAATGTTAAAAACGGTGTACAAGGACGATGCTATGGGGAAAACTCAAGTGTTTGAGTGGTTTTCCTGTTTCAAAAATGGTGAAATGTCAATTGATGACAAACCTCGTTCTGGTCGTCCTTCCACGGCCCGAACACATGAAAATGTTGAAAAAATTCGTGAAATCATCAAGGAAGATCGACGACGGACCATTGAAGAAATTGTGGAGCTGTCGGGAGTGACTTGGAGCTCAGTTCAGCGAATTTTGACAGAAGATTTGGGAATGAAAAGGGTGGCTGCGAAATTCATGCCACGACTGCCGACTGCTGAACAAAAACAGGGTCGCATGGAAGCATGCTGTGCTTTGAAAGAAGAGTCCCGAAATGATCAAAACTTTTTTTCAAAAATTATCACCGGTGACGAAACGTGGTGCTATGCTTATGGTCCTGAATCAAAGCAACAGTCAAGCCAGTGGAAGACTCAAGTTTGCCTCACCCCAAGAAAGCTCGTCAGGTGAAATCAAACATGAAAACAATGCTGATTTGTTTTTTCGATGTGAGAGGAGTCGTCCATTCAGAGTTTGTTCCGCAGGGTCAGACAGTTAACCAGGCTCTCTACTTGGAAGTTTTGAAAAGATTGCGCAACAGTTTGCGGCAGAAGCGGCCAGATTTGTGGCAGTCGGGTGACTGGTTTTTCCATCATGACAATGCCCCTGCTCACACAGACCTGTCTGTACGACAATTCTTGACCAAAAATGGTATGACCCCTGTTCCTCACCCTCCATACTCACCCGACCTTGCCCCGTGCAACTTTTTTTTTGTTTCCTCGAATGAAAAGGGACATGAAAGGAAAGCGTTTTGCTGATGTTGCTGAGGTGAAGGAAAAAACGACGGAGGCGCTGTCAAGCATCTCAAAAGATGAATTTAGACAATGTTTTGAAAAATGGAATAAAAGACTAGACAAGTGTATTAGTGTAAGTGGAGAGTACTTTGAAGGGGATTGAAGGTTTGTGCTTAAAATTTGAATAAATAAGTTCGGTTTCTTTTGGGTACCCGCTCGTAGTATTCTGTTTGAAACTTAAGTTCACGCATGTTTCAGGACAACAAATATTTAAAACCATACCTTGAAGAAGTTATCAAGGAGCGAGAAGAGAAAGAAGACTGGAAAAAGAAGTGAATGTCATGTCCATGTAGATTCTTTACAAATTGTACATAACTCTTAGAATTTAAATAGAAAATAAAATATTATTGATAACAGAACACAGCTTCTAACATTTGTTGTATTTGCCTATGGGATGAGTGTTCTGAGATGTATTGTCATGTAGTGTGGTAGATGTTTACCAGACTGTATGGTATCACATCAAAGAACACAGTAACCAACATCACTGCTGTGAAACCCTCAAATATCACAAAGTAGAAGATTAATCACTTCAAATCCAAGGTATTTCTATGTATGTAACGGTAACAACCGGCAGATCTGCAGAGTTCTCAACCGTAGTCCGAACATCAGTTGGCCCAAAGATAAACCGGACTCAGTCGCCTTCCTGCCCTTTGTTGGGTCTATATTCAACTGAATCAGTAGAGTGCTGTCCTAGCGCATTAACTCAGTGGGCCTGCCTCCAAAGAAATTCTCTAGTTTCCTCTGGCTGGTCAAAGATAGCCTGGGACTAAGGACACCGGGTGTATACAGTATCCCATGCAAGTGTGGCAAGGTCTATATTAGGCAGACGGGCCATTCTGTGGACCTGAGGCTGAAGGAGCATCAGCAGCACATCTGGACAAGTCAGCTGTGGCTGAACACCGCATTCAGCTTCAGAATACCTCCATCCTTGCCACCATGACCCATTATACGGATCATTAGGGACGCCATTGAGATTGAACTCCATCCTGACAATATGAACAGAGAGGTGGGGTTTTGTCTCAGCAAGTCATGGAGGCCTCTCATGTGTTCCCTCAAGAAACCTCCGGGACATGATGCCAGATCCACAAGGCCACGCCCAACTCGCATAGCAACCCCCCAAGCTTAAGGGTTAATGCCCTCCCGTTAACCTTGCCTTTCTCCCCCGACACAATATTCTATACCTGCTCTAGCCTGCTACCTGCTGGCCACTTCCCCAGACCCTTCCCCTCTCTTCTCTACTGATTTCCCATGTAGCCCATCTCCCTTCCTTTTCTGCTCTCTGCAGCTGGGTTTATTCTTGACATTAGTCTATTTGCACCTGCTCACACTGGTTCTTTGCTTGTGGATTTTCTTTTTTCTTCTACCCTGAAGATGGGGGCGATGCATTCCTCCGAAACATCAGTTAACACAATATCTACATGGCGCCACATCCCAGAAGATTGCTTTCTTTATTTCTATATAATTTTTTCCTCCTTTTGCTCCCACTTCAGAGCATATGGCTGATTTCTCAGTTTCATAATCGTTTTTACAGATGGTAGGACTCCTTGGATAGGTGATCAGTTCGTCGCAAGGCCTCTCACCTAAACACAGGATAAACGCGCACCAAACATCTATGCCTTGTGTAGGATTTGAACCCGGCTTCCAAGTGAGCAACGACAGTACATGCCTTAGACTGCTCGGGTACCATGACCGGCTTCTATATACGAGGGGGTACCCAAAAGAAACCGAACTTATTTTTTTTTAATTTATTTATTCAAATTTTAAGCACAAACCTTCAATCCCCTTCAAAGTACTCTCCACTTACACTAATACACTTGTCTAGTCTTTTATTCCATTTTTCAAAACATTGTCTAAATTCATCTTTTGAGATGCTTGACAGCGCCTCCGTCGTTTTTTCCTTCACCTCAGCAACATCAGCAAAACGCTTTCCTTTCATGTCCCTTTTCANTGAAAAACACTTGAGTTTTCCCCATAGCATCGTCCTTGTACACCGTTTTTAACATTTCAAGAGTTTCTGTTCCACTTTTCCCGAGCAAAAAGCAGAATTTCACCGCCGCACGCTGTTCACGAAAATCAGCCATTGCAAAAACGACGATCACACAAAACAGTTGTCACTATAAACTCTGCCGAAACTAGTCCTTACCTTCTGAAGCAACGGTAGTCGGCTTATCGACTCAGGAATGTTAGCTCTATGTGCTCATAGTGGCAAAACGCGGTACTACAAAAGCTCTGCCCACAAAAAAATTAGTTCGGTTTCTTTTGGGTACCCCATTGTAAATGCCGAGGTGTAAATACCCCATGTATTTATGAGTCAAGTAATATCAGTACGTTGCACTGTTGCTGTGTATTACATACTCATATTTTCCATTTAATTTTTATCACTCTTCATTTGGTAGTTCATTAAAATGAACAGATAACAGTCACGCTAAGTTATATGAGAAAGTAAAGAAGACATTAAATCCTGTGGTGGCTCACAGACCAGCTTTCTTAACTGGCAGAAATCTTGAAATAAAACATAACCACAATCTACCCTGGCCTTTCAGTTCATTATACATAATTGTATGGTTATTCAATAAACTATGCAGGTGATAAGGTGTTATTAAATAAAGCAGGAAACGAAAAAAAAAAAGAGATAAAAATACAGAAGCTTTACATTCTTTATCATCAATGTGAATATCATAATACAATATACTCCATACAAAATATCATAAATTGGCACCTCATTGGTTCTATATAAGGGACATTCCATAAATGAAATCACGTTACTATTGATGAAATTCTGGATACCTAGATCCCATGCTGCTCATGGAATGTGATAAGACTGACACTTGAAAGTACTATAATCTGGGTTAATCTTGCAACATGATTCTTGCTTGGTACATTGGTGGATGTCTGCTGAACTCACAGTATTACATCCCACTAAACAGTCATAGTCGCAGCTGTGAAAACCTCAAATCCAGCACGACTGATATTCCATTTCTCAAAGTAATGAACTATACACAAAAGTTGGTGTCTTACAATAGTAAACTGTGAACCAATACATAAATGCTTCTATAATAGCACTGAAAAGTTTTCAAAATCTAGCCCAAAGATAAGCAACTGACATTGCATAAAGGCTAATTCAAGCAAATCATAACTTTTTAAGCTTCAAGTAAAATGAAAATAAAAACAATTTATAAATAAATATTTTTCATTTGAAACATTTATATTGTTTTATTTCCTTTCTGAAATTACTAGCAGTTAACATCAAAATAACCAGCAGACCTCACATTGCCCTTCACTATTTACCATGTTAACAAAACCCAACCAGTGGTCCCTATACTGAGCCAACTGAATCCACTCCAAATTTTCACACTTTAAATTATAATCCTCTTTAATATTATTCTCCCATATATGGTAGTTTCTCAAATGGGTCTATCCTTGGGATTTTCTGGCCAAAATGCTGTATACAATTTTTATTCCCCCCCCCCCAAATAATCCTTCATTTAATCATGATCTAAATATATGTGGAGTACAAATTATGAAGCTCTTGAGTATACTCTTTTCTCCAGTCTTCTTTTATTTTATATTTGGTTCAAATATTTTCCTCAGCATCTTATTCTTACCCTGAGTGAACTTGTACAAAATAATCTTTGCAAATATAAATTATTTTCTGATATCATATTAATAATGCATTAACAATAATCACAGCTTCAGTTACACCACAACCCTGTATCTTGTTCACAAATACAAGAACTATAAGAGGCTTAAAGTAATCCCATATTATTTCGGGAGATTATCTTCTTCCCCGCAGCTGCCTATAACATTCCTGTTTCAAAAATTACATGTTCTATGAACAGAAACCAAAAATGGGTAATAGAATTCATCCTCTATTAAAAGAATATCACTTATGGAGAGTCCCAATGTAAAATATTAAAGACAATACATATTTCCTTTCAAAAATATACTAAAATAATTCTGCATACACTTAAATCACTTGTTTAGTCCAACACTGAGATCAGACTTGCTCTAATAGAAACTACAGCTGAAAACAAACAATAGACTTCTTTTAGAGTAAATCCAACTTCTGATGTTACATTAGTAATATCAAAAAATTACATTTCATGTAAAGTTAAAGCATAAGGTCATGGCTGAGAAGTGCAAAATATCTGCCCTTGCAAGGTATCAAAACCCTGAACATTCAGTTCATAGGCAGTCATTCTGATGAGCCTTTCTGACTCATATGTGCCACGTTACTTTGAATCTTACTCATTAAAATTACATCCCTTCATGTATTTTGCTATACTTAAGTTCAGGAACTGTGTATGTAAATTTCTTGTAGAAAAGAATAGAACACATATTGTGACACGAAAGCTGAAAGCTGGAATGGTACGCCCAGGAAAGTCGTCCATTGCTAGGCAATGGCCATAAACACATTTCTGCGACAATTAAATTGGAAGTGAGCAGTGGCAGTTCGTGGTTGGTCATGAGGAATCTGAACTGTTAGTAGCAACTACCTAGCGACAACTAGTAACGACAGAATAACAAACAGAACACTGCGTGTGTGTTATGGTTGTAATGATTTATAAAAAACAATTAACTGAATCAGATGATGGCCATTTCTCAGGAAAACGGTATGCTAACAAACGAACCCCTTATGATTTCTATGTTGTAGCACAGTACACTGGATGGCGCCCAATTGAACAAACAAATTATGCTCCAAGAGTTGCAACAGCAAATCAGATTCATCAAAATTAATTAAAAACTAAGCACTACACAGGAGGACAACATTTTGAAGGTTAGCTTCACAAAATTAAGCAAAAGATAAAGCTTCAGCAGGAGCAGCATAAGCAAGGAACAGCCAGGCAAGAACTCAAGCACAAAATCTTGTTTCAACTTCAAAAAAAGAAAATGGATATATTAAAAGACTGGAAAAGGGTGAAAATTGAGTTTTATAACAGTTTTCCTCATGCAACCGGTGCACTTCAATCTCCCTACATGCCGGATAAAGGGGAATTTCCTGGACTTGTCCCAATTGGTTCGATGTGATGGTATTAATATTGTTTATATTACATGGAATGTAATGGCAGTATGCTCAATTTTATGAATAGTGTACAGTTTAGTTTGAGAGCTTATTGACACCTTAGTATGGGTTCTGTACACATCTTAATGGCTGCATTCTGCTATATTAAATATACATAAGAAAACATTACATAGCATAAAGGTATCAGGTTATTTAAAGATACACTTTTACAAAATTTCAGTTGTCTAAAATATACGTGTTATTACAGAGCAGTGATGTCCAAGTGTGACCAGCCCTTTTCATTATGACCTCCACTGCCCAATTATTAAAAAAAATCCTAACAAATTCACAGCAATGAA